GAGGAGGAGGAGGAAGACGTGGAGGAGGAAGACGTGGAGGAGGAAGACGTGGAGGAGGAGGAGGAGGAGGAGGAGGAGGAGGAGGAGGAGGAGGAGGGATTTGCTGGTGGGATGATCCACGGGACGTGCCGCGCGGCCGCCTCGAGCCGCGCCGCGGCTGCCTCGGGGGGCCTGCCGGGGGAGAGCACGGCGGGAGGCCGCGCGTCGCCAGTCTCTCGTGAGAGGTCATCGTCGGACGTCGGGCGGGAGGTCATCGTCGGCGGCGGGCGGGAGGGAGAAGCGAGGACAGGGGAACGAAGAACAGGGGAACGGAGAAGTGTTCCCTGTGTCTTCGGGGAAGGCTCAGGCAACTTCTCTCAGAAGGCCTGGGCCTTCCGACCCTCCTGAGAAGGCCTTCTCCTTCGCTAGGGGAGCGAAGGATGACATAAGCATACAACTCGGAGGTCCGCGCGGGTTTCTCGGATCCGCGCTGGGCCCCCCTGGCGGCGCCTCCGGCGCCGTTCCATGGCGCTCTCCGCGCGCCAGGGAGGGGGGTCCAGCGCGGATGCGAGAAATCCGCACGGGCCTCCGAGTTTTTATGTTTCTGGCATTCTACATTCCCGTAGCGAAGGAGAAGGCCTTCTCAGGAGGGTCGGAAGTCCCCAGGCCTTCTGAGAGAAGTTGTCTGAGCCTTCCCCGAAGACACAGGGAACACTTCTCCGAAGGCGCGAGGGGGCTTCTGAGAAGTCCCGCCGCCTTCTGAGAAGGCCTTCTCCTTCACATTTCCCCGCTCTCGCTCGCCGCCGAGGGGCGCTTGCCGCTCTCGCTGTGCTGCCCAGCTCGGAGACGTCCTCGTCCTCGTCCTCGTCCTCGTCCTCGTCGTCGTCGTCGTCGTCGTCGTCGTCGTCGTCGTCGTCGTCGTCGTCATCGTCGTCTCGGGGGGCGTGCAGGTTGGCGCAGGGTCACGATTTCGCCACCAGCCACCCCGCGCCCTGAGAGGGGAATGGTGTGCCATGGCCCCGGAAACTTCGGGGGCGTCCAAGAGTGTGGTGGGGGCCAGGGTGGGGATATCATGGCCGGGGCCATCATATCCCCCAAGGAGGGAAGAGGGAGGAGGGAGGAAAAGGAGGAGTGAGTGAGACCAGTCTCGAAGCGAATCCCGATACCTACGAACCCCTACGAGCGAGCTCGGCCCGACTCCGAACCTTGGGCCATTGCCCATTGCCGATCCTGGATAAATACTCGGCTCGGTTGGAATTCGTGGTCCTGAGACATGGTTGCCCAAGACCTCTGATCATCTGACTGGCAAAATACCCGCAACTCGAGCAAAACCAGAGTCTAGGGGTACTGCTCAGACGCATATTGTGTGTTTCATGCGCCCACCCACCCGCTATCAGGTGGCGGGGAGCAAGGAGGGCCCCCCCATCCGCCCCCGCAGGAGCACGACAGGTACGTGGAGCAGTTCACCGACGAGTGCAAGGCCTTCCGCACGAGGCGCCGGCCGCGTCCGGCAGCGCCCCCCCATCCCTTCGCCCCCCCCCGAGACAGCAGACCTGGTCATCGTTGCCCACTTCGTCCTCCTCCCTCCCTCCTCCCCCTCCCCCTCCTCCTCCTCCTCCTCCTCCTCCTCCTCCTCCTCCTCCCCCTCCCCCTCCCTCCCCTTCCCCCCTCCTCTCCTCCTCCTCCTCCTCCTCTCCTCCTCTCCGCCTGCCTGCCTGCCTGCCTGCCTGCCTGGCCGCCTGCCTATGCCTGCCTGCCTGCATGCCTGCCTTGCCTGCCTGCTCTGCCTTGCCCCTGCCTGCCTGCCTGCCTGCCTGCCTGCCTGTGCTCCTCTCTCCTCCTCCTCACCTCCTCCTCCTCCCCTCCTCACCTCCCCCTCCTCCTCCTCCTCCTCCTCCTCCTCCTCCTCCTCCTCCTGCTCCCCCTCCTCCTCCTCCTCCTCCTCCTCCTCCTGCCTGCCTGCCTGCCTGCTCCCTATCCCAGACCCTCGCGTAGTGGAAAAAATCACGACAGGAGGTTGTTCGTCATTTTCGACTCACGGGGGAGGACGAGCAGGAGGAAGAGGATGAGCGGGGGGAGGGAGGAGGCGAGAGGAATGGGAGAGAGAGGCAAGCCGTGGCGCGATCGTGCCACATCTGGCATCCTGCCCCTCCCACCCATCCCTTCCCGTTGCCTGGAAGCTCTTCTGGTGCCCGGCCGCATCGTCTTCACGTCGCCCTCGCACCTCACCAGGCTCTGGCTCTCCTTGCGCTGGCATTTCCGTGAGACGCGGCGCGCCCCATTCCGAGCCACGACCGGGAATGTGCGGGGCCGGTGTTTTCGAACGCATCGGGGCGCGAAGAATTCTACAGGATGAGGGGTTTTCGAAGTAGCGTGCGGTCTAAAACGCTTATCAGCAAGAGGGACGAGGACACGCCGAGGAAGGTAACGCCAACACGGCGTACGGCAACGATCCTTCATCTAATATTGGTGCACCGCTGGGCACCACGGAATTCGTCAAAGCCCCCGGTGCGGAACGCATGCGACAAGAACAACGATTGTTACAAGAAATATCCAAAATGGAAGACCCGCAGTGCGCATGGACGATGCTATGTATGTCGGCGGTCCCACGGGCCAACCACAAAGCACGCATTCTTCCGCCGTCTCTGTCGCGTTTTTACACAGATGCGCACGACGACGCGGTGTGGCACACCTTCTGCGACGTACTTAATGTGCAGACTTTGGTGGGCGATGGTACCGCACAACGGGTTGCAACACTGCCGGGGAGATTAGGGGGGCTAGGACTGCGTTCGGCTACCACATCCGCGCCAGGCGCCTACTGGGCGTCGTGGGTCAACGCTTTACCAATACTACAACAAAAAACACCAGCTATCGCAGACGCTGTGCTACATGACTTACAACACAACGGGGGTGCAACTGCGGAGACCATACGACAAGTGGTAAGCAGCAATTGGGTGTTGGAAACACAGGGGGCACTCAATCTACCAACTTGGGAAGAAGCCAGGGAGAGCGTCGAACCACCACCGGCTACCGACAACGATTTTGATGCTGCGGATTTCGAAAGAGGTTGGCAGTGCTACGCTTGTTCCTATGCAGAACACTACTTTTTGGAACACGTGGTACTCCCTACTTGTGACGGGGTCCGCCATGCCATGTTGCTGTCGCAAGCCGGAGGACCGGCAAGCGGGTGGCTGAGAGCCATCCTTTCGGACCACATCTATCTTCGCCTTGCAGCCGCTGCGGTTTCAAATTGCCATGCGGAGACGTCTACGGTGGCCTATTCCACTTTCGGGCGGACGATGTGGGAAAGCGTGCCGGCACACCTTGGACGCTTTCGGGGATCATGCCGCGTCGTGCCCAAAGAGCGGGCGGCTAAAATCCAGATCAGTTCCACTCGAGCGTATCTGGAAGCGCATCCTACGAGAAGCAGGGGCACGAGTGAGGGAAAATGTTTCACTTCGCGACACAGCCCTCCCAAACATTGACCCAGCTGACGGCCGGATGGTGGAGATAGTGGCGACTGGCCTACCTATCAGGCACGGCGTTCCTTTGGCAATCGACGCCACGCTGATCTCGCCTCTACACGCCGACGGTTCACCATGGGACAATGCGGCTACGATCCCAGGAGTATCGTTCCGTCGGGCTCTCCATAGTAAGACGGCGACGTTCCAGAATTGGTTGGGAGCCCAATCTTGCAACTGATGGTGGCAGCTACTGAGACTGGAGGCCGGTGCAACCGCGATGTTTTGGAGATGCTTGACCAAGCTGCGCTTGCGAAAGCGCGTTCAGCCCCGGTAGCACTCCAACCAGCAGCAGCCCGGTCTTGGAAGACCCGCTGGACAACTATGCTGGCTGTCGCGGCTCAGGTCGCGCTGGCAGCCACACTGGTGAGTGAAGGGGTGGGCCATCTAGATGGGAAAGACGGCGCCACGCCATTGGCCGTCGAAGTTTGGCTTGATGGGTGAGCCCTCCTCTCCTCCTCCTCCTCCTCCCTCTCCTCCTCCTCCTCCTCCTCGTCCTCCTCCTCCTCCTCCTCCTCCTCCTTTGACGCTGCTTAGCGGCCCCGTCGTTTAAAACGATATTCGGCTCGCTGGCTCCGGGCACTGTCGCATGTTGGTCGCTGCTGCCTGGCGGCGGTTACAAAAAATAAAATGGTGCAACAGATCACCTGGTCAGTCTTGATTTGTTGTGAGCGTTCTCTGTCCCTTGCGATGCCGAGGCCGTCGTCGGCGAGGCGACCCCAAGAGTGTCGACCCGCCTGGCTGTGATCGGCAACGTTGTGGTTAGAGTCCGGATCTTTCAGATATATTTTCGCCGTGAAATCGCCGCTGGACAGGTCACCCCGTTTTCCTATCTCTCTTCCTCCTCTTCTTTCCCCCATTGCTTCCCCCCCTCTCCTGCTCCTAGTTCCTCACAGTTAAACATAAGTACTACGTTCTTCTCTCCCCCGAAGACGTGCTGAGTGTGCCGCGACCCCTGGCGCATTGCGGTTTATTCACGAGGTTGGTCCCAGTTTTTGTTTTCTTGCACGCCTTTCCAATCCAGAGCGCTTTCGGTCCTTCCACAGTGGCGTAACCGTTGCAACGGGGACCTGCATTCAGATTTGGCGTGATGCTCCCGTCGTTCAGACTGGCGTTCTCGCCCCAGCGCGGGCCAGTTTTCTGGATCCGAGTCCTTCCCCATCATTGTCGCCCCCCTCTTTTCCCCCTCCTTCGCCTTCCCCCGGTCCTCTGCTCGTTCCCCTCCTTCACTCCAGCTGCTGCTGCTGCTGCTGCTGCCGCTGCTGTTCGCCCTCGTCCTCCTCCCTCCTCCTGCTCATCCACAACCTCCTGCACTGCACGCAGCTCCCCTGTTCTCAATGCGCGCATGACGGTGAAGTCTTTGTAGGAGTTCCAGGACAGCTACGACACGCGTCGGCGAATAGAGAATAAAGCAGCGCAGTGGGAAGGGATGGGTGGGAAGGGCGGCAGGGTGTCAGACATGGCCTCGAGCGCACCTGGCTTGCCGCCCACACCTCCCCTTCACCCATCCTCCTCCCCAGGTTCCCAACGTCATGTTTTTTTTTCCACGCGGGCCCCCCCGCAGGTCCCGACCCGTGCCTGGGGCCCGTCCCGTCATCCCGAGTCGTCTCCTGACGCTTCCCGGGCCTGGCGAGGGCCCCCCCCCCGAGGCCGGAGGTTGCGGCAAGAAAACTTTGCGTGGTGAGTTTTGCCAGCGCGCCGGAGAGCTGGGCGGCCCGAGGGCCGAAGAACGAGGCGCTGGGCGTGTCTCCGCCTTGTTTGGGGGGCCTCTGGGAGCAGGAGGGGGAGGAGGAGGGGGAGGAGGAGGGGGAGGAGGGGGAGGAGGAGGAGGAGGCGGAGGAGGAGGAGGAGGAGGAGGAGGAGGAGGAGGAGGCGGAGAGAGGAGGTGGAGGAGGAACAGTGGAGGAGGAGGGAGGAGGAGGAGGAGGAGGATGAGGAGGAGGAAGAGGAGGAGGAGGAGGAGGCGGAGGAGGGGGGGGGAGGGAGGGAGTGGGGGAGGGGCGGAGGGGCAGGAGGAGGGAGGGAGGGAGGGCTCCCCCCCCGCATGAGGTCCCGGCTGAGACCTGGCGGGCTGGCCGGCTCGTCCATGGCCGCCTCCTGGGATTGACCTTGCCGGCGGCGGGTCGCGCGCTGCCCAGCCCGCGCTGCGCCGTGACGTCCGACGGCGGCACCGCCAGCATCCCTGTTGGCGGCGCGCAGAGGGGGGTGCAGTCGGGGTGGATTGGAGAGGACACGCGAGAGGACACAGGACCCTCCCCCTCCTCCTCCTCCTCCTCCTCCTCCTCCTCCTCCTCCTCCTCCTCCTCCTCCTCCTCCTCCTCCTCCTCCTCCTCCTCTTCCTCCTCCTCCCCCGATCCCAGGGCGCCCGGCTTCGCGCGCCGCACCCCCCGCGACGCACGGCCCGCGGCTCTCTTCGCGCCGTCACGCCGCCCCGTGTCCCGGAGATCTTGGCGACTCATCCCTACGAGCCGGGCGT